AACAGTTGGTTCTCCTGGGGCTCAGGAAGTGCAGGCAGTGCCTCGAGCCATGTTCGGGAAGAGCAGGCACAACTGGACTCATGGATACTGATGCTGTGATTTTTAGGGTGCTTGCAGGCAGGTTTTATTTGCCAGTTCTGGTTCCCATGGCTGTCACATCTAACTCTGAAAAGCAGTGGATTTGGGGAAGCAGAAGGGGAACTGAGTGGGCCTGAGAGAGGGGTCTGTTCACTGGAAAGGGTGACCCTGCAGGGTAAGGCACCCTGCCTGGTCACAGTGGGAGAGGTGACTTCTGGCAGAGGATGCCTCTGCCTCCAATTGCTATGAGGGCAGTAGGGGCTGTGGTGAGCTGTATTAGCTAGAGGGTGGGTTATGGCCAGAGCCTGCTGGGTGTCCTGCTTGGGATGTTACCAGCCCATTGCACTGTTGCAAAACAACCCAGCGTCACTATTTCTGTGTCAGTTTGAACACTCCCCTTGTCCATTTTGCCTTAAACCTTGAGTCTATTCATGTGGAAGGTTATACTGAACTCCAGTGGCACTGTGAATAGGGTGATCCCAGTGGCTTTGCTGTTTTCCTTTGGTAAGTGTATAATATGGATGCAGTTACAGAGACAACAGAGAGGGTTTTTTTCCTCTTCTGAGCAACAGTCATTTTTTGGCACACCCATCATGAGTGAGAGCAGCTCAGCCTGGCTGAGCCAACCCACACAAGAAATTCCCCACCTGGATGAGCCCAATGTGCCAAGGAGGGAAGCTGGCTGTGGTTCACACGTGATATGCATTTCTGCACAGAAGCACCAGCCCCTGCATGCATTTCCCTCACACATGGATGCTCGACCCTCAGTTCTCGTATTCCAGTTTAACCAGTCTTGCCAGAGACAGGGGATGGGAGCAGGGAGGAGGAAAAGCTTCAGGCAGCAGGAGTGGCTGCGGAGGAGTCATATTGATTTACATGAAGAGAAGACTCCAGCTCCACACTCCCACTTTTTAAAGAGATGGGGGGGATAAGCAAATGCCCAGGATCACAAACCCCACTGTGCTGCAAAGGAGGAGCAGAGCAGCAGGACATAGCCATGGCCTGTGCCAGCCCCCACCACGGCCTTCTAAGGATCACTCACCCACTGCCCTCCGTATCCGTGTCTGCTCTGTGCCACCATCCAGCAGGGCCGTGAGCTTCTCCACACTGAAGGAGGCTGTTTGCCGCTCACTGGCGAGGTCGGGGTTCACACTGCCGAGCACTGAGCCCTGTGAGTATTTGCTGGTCTCCAGCAGAGCCATCCTGGAGGCTGTGCTGCTCTGCAAAGGGACAGGGCTCGTCTGGCACTGGCACCTGGCAGTGGATGCCTGATAGAGGTGCTGGCACAGCAAGGAATGGTTTTGGTAGGTTGGCCAAGATGTACCTGCATGAATATTTAGGAGCTCTCCTGTCCTCATTGCATTGGACAGTGGAGATTTATGGCACTTCAAAGAATTCAAACTGCAGATTTTATGACATATTATAAACATAAAATATTTTTCTTTTCCCACTCTGTCCTCAGTATTCTATGCGAAGTTCATGCTGGAATATCCCACAAGTACATGTTAATGTTTGATGTTTTCTGGCCCAGGGCTCACAGGCACTGGTGGCTCTGCCTGTGCTGCCTCTGTCCTTGGGGCGCAGCTTTACATTAACCCTTAACTCATGTTAGTGAGATTGGTCACAAGACACTAGTAAAAACAAAAGCCGTGATGAGTAGGAAATAAATCATATTTTTCCCTTAAAGAGGCTGCTGCCTTTCCAAACATCAGATTACCTTAAGAAATACAAACTCTGGAAACCACTGCAAATGTCTTATTAATTCCTGCTTTTTCTGATATTCAGGCCTTTATTCCAAGGTGTCCTGCTGGAGGGAGGAAAGCCCGGGGGCAGCGCGGTGGGCTCTCAGGGCGGGGGTAACCCGGCGCTGCCCTTGGGCCGTCACGGGGAGCGCGGGGCTGGGCGCCGGGGACGCCTCGGCCTCAGCTTCCTCTTCCGTGAGGCTGCGTGAGGAAAATGCCATTCCTTTCTCTCCGTGCAAACGCAGCCCCCCACGTACCTCGTCCCAGGCGTCCTCCGTGGAGCCGTCCGGCTGCTGCCTCCCTGCCTGGGCCGCGGCTCCCGAGCCCTGTGCGGGGACCTTGTCCCCGGGCCCGGCGCCGCGGGTGTTCCTGCTGACCTCTGCAGGCAGGAAAATCCCACAGCCCTCAGCGCTCCAAAACAGCGCTGCTTCTGATCCCGCTAAAGGCAGCTGCCGCGTCCCAGACTGCACTTCCAGCTCCGTCACCCAAGCGACACCCTGCCCTTCTCCCGGTGGTTTGAATTTGGGTTTATTGTTTTAGTAGCCTGCTCCGGGTGGAGAGCAGCACCCTTGGTGTTGGCACTGCTCCTTGCCTGGGGTTTGACGTGCTCTCAGGGTTTCCCCGGCTCTGTCAGGCACTGCCCACAGCCCTTCCCGCCGTTTGGGGTGCAGGGCTGGAATGCGGGGCTGTGCCGGGGGGCGGAGGGAGCCTGACACGGGGATGTGCCGCCCTCACCTCCTGCGGTCGTGGATGTGTCCCTGCTGGTGCCCGGGGAACGGGAGATGGGAGTTCACAACCCTCACACGCCGCTCACCCTGGCTACAGCAGGACGAGCCTGACGGGGCGGGAATCCAGCAGAGGATCCCCCTGCCCGCGGCTCATCGATGGGTCTGGGCTGCCGCTGCAGACCCACGCTGGAAACTGCTCTGTCAGGGAACGAGGTGCGGGGTTCACACTACGGAAGGCTTGCTTTAACATGGGGAGTTAAGCAAAGTTTGGGAAATCGGATATAGTTTTGGTTAACGACAATTTTAAGCCTGAAGCTGAGCTTGTTGAACCAAGCCCAGCAGGCACGAGGAGCAGCAGGCAGTGAGAACAGCCAGCTGCAATATAGTGAGTGGCTCACGGGCTCAGGATCACTCTGGTAGATTAAAGATGCCATGTGGCTCCATCACAGTCCCAGAGCGACAGGGCATCCTATGGATGTGCTGTTTTCTGGTCTGTATTGCACAGTATCACATCCACAGTGACTCAGGGTCACAAGTGGTTGGGAGGCAGTACATCCTTCTGAAGTGCTCGGTGGGATTTTTCCATTTGTTCTTACATTTCCTTCTGCTGGAGTCAGAAGTGCTTGGCCTTGTGCTTCTTGACTGCTGTTTGTAATTCAGTGAGTGTATCTGGCACTCCTGAAGGGAAGGTGAGGGATGACACATTGGAAAAAGCCTGTCCTTGAATCTCTTTGCAACCTGATGTTCATGCAGGTTTATATTTGGGCAGGCTCTGGTGCTGCCTGAGTAGGTCATTGCCAGTCTGTGTTAGTGAGGTCTGAGCTGGAGAGCCACCAGAGCTGCACACCCAGCTCGGCTCCAAGTGCCTGTGGATGGCCAAAGATCTCATGGGCTGTGCTAAGAACCCACAAAACCCACAAGACCACCTGCCAGGTAATTTTACATTTTTGCCCATTTTCATTAGGCTGGATCTTGCCAGTATCACGGCCAATTCAAGATTTCATATAATGCTTTCATCAAAAAGCATTATATGAAAAAATTGTTCAGCCTGTGGCAATTTTAGATCATTTTGGGAAATGATCTAGGTAAGGAAAAATACCTAGGATAGGCAAAGGTGAATTCTTGAGATGAGGTGTTCAGCCAGGGCCAGTCTGAGGGTACCACTGGCTTGAGGAAGAAAACCATAACTTGCCATTTCTCAAGCAGTCATGAGGAGTAAATTATGTAGTAAAATGTAAGTTCCTTGACAGGACATTTCACTGCAGCAAATTATCTAGGAGCACTTCAGGAGTGAGTGCACAGGAGAAGAGATCTCAGCATGACCTGGATAAAGAGCAAAGCTGGTATTGAAAACTGTCAGTACAAGAAATTCCAGGCAATGGAGCAGTTTGAGCATAGCTAAAAGGTTTTTATCTTTAAAGAGCAGAAGTGATTGGTCCTTACTCTCTTCCACAGAAGAGGAACTGTCACAATGAACAACTACCATTGCCATCTGTACATGGAAGGAGGTGTGTGATCAGTGTCAGGAGTTTTGGGGCACAGCCCATTGAAACCTCACTGCTGGCTGGGAAATGTTGATGAGGTGTTTTACAAAGTCCTGTGTGAGTGCCCTGGTCTCATATCTAACCAAAGGGCTAGAGAGAAGATTTGTCCCTTTGAAAAGTTTATGCCAGGAAATGAAGTACACAACCTGCCATGGTAGGGCAGCAAGGGAGCTGTTCTTATAAGCATCAAAGAGGTGGGAAGATGTTTTGTACACCTGACCTGAAGAACAGGTTTAGTGAATGAGATCTCACCCCCAGTGAGGAGCTGACTGGCCACATCAGTGCCACAGGGTGAGGAGGGTTGGGGACACCTCCCAGTGTGGCAACCCCAGCAGATACCTGCTGTCAGAGAAAGGCATCCAAGCACCACCTCTGCCTTGTTCTGAGTGGGATGTTGGCATCTGTGCTGATAAGGATGTTGCTAATGAGACAGAGAAGTCCTTTTCATTTGCTTTGCTGCATTCAGTTGTGTCCTGGGACTCAGGAACCATGGTGTGTGTGACCTGCACATGTGAAGCATTGTCTCTTTTTCTTATCTGCTAAATCTTTGGTCTTTGGTTGTTGCTAAAGCAACTTTAAAAATGTTTAAAAATAAATAAATAGGCTCACTTGTGTGAGGATTACTTGTCAGTTCAAAAATGTGTTTTTGAATTAAATCCAAGGATGAGTTTCCTTGGTTTTGTGTGGATTTTACCTTGCCAGGCAGGTGGGCATCCACAGACAGTTAGAAATCAGATTGGAATTTCAGTGCTCAAAGCCTGATCCACAATCTGTGTGCCCTTATACTTTCATCAGACTGAGATGGTGTCTGGGATAAGCACTGGATGTAGTTTTGGGTGCAGATGATGCAAAGAGCTCACTGGTGAGCGAGTTAACACATTAACAAAGGAATTGGTGTCAGACTTCACTGTTTTTTATGTTCATTCAGTTTATTTGGCTGTTGTCTGTTTGTATCCTTGGAGCTTTTTCAGTTCCTTGTGGAAAAGAGCAAAATATACAATTATCATTTAGTTTATTTCTTCAGAAGTGTCCACATTAAACAGTGAGTTAATTCAGTAGAGGTGCATAACATATAGTTTTATATAAATGTATAAGCACCAACACAGAATATAGACTATATACCACAGAAGCAACATACACAGTGCAAAAAACTGTCTTCCATCAATACTCTGACAACCTGTATCTTCTGGATACACCAGTTTTATTCAGGAGTGTGCTTTAGGGGCATAGGGAAAAGAATAATGCAAAAGAAATAGAGACACAAAGATACCACAGAATCTTCCTGATGATACCTACACTGATTTTTTTAGGGTGCCACCTCCTCACTGCTGTTCCATGAAGCACAAGAGCACCGGTGAAAGTTGTACGGGTTCTGTGTCTGAGCCCAGCTGGGGGTTATTGGTTCAGAGGGGTGACAGGAGCTGTGCCAGAAAATGCTGTGATGTTTAAACCAATACTTCAACAGTAAAAAGATCATTTCCCATGTGCCATCTCCGAGGGCTGGAGCCTGGAGCTGTGGTCAGGGTCTGTCTGCCCTGCTGTGTGCCCCAGGGTGCTGCCTGTGCTGGCTGCCCCTGCTGGTGTGTCCCGGCTCACAGCCTGTGGGGTCTTGATGGGCAGCTGGGTCGGGGCTTTCTGCTGTTGCTCCACTGCCTGAAGGATTTCTTCTGACTCTGCTAGCCCAGCCTGAGTTAGGACAGTGTGACCTGGCCCTCCCTCACCCTTTGGACACCTGCTGGAAATGACCCAGACACGCCTTAGCCACAATGGACTGTGTTGTGTGCAGCCCCTCTCTGTGCTTGGTGGACATCACATCAAAGGGAGACACCTTCATTTATTTTTCCCCTCCAGGTAATATTTGAATACTTAAGAAGAGCAGCAAAATCCTTTCTGCTTCTTCATTGCTGACCTTACTGGATGGCTCCCACCTGAGGGCTTGCATAAATACCTCTGTCCCAGCCAGGGTGAGCTGATAACATGAATTTCATTGGTGCATATGGAGCGACAGATTGCCTCTCCTGGAGTGCATTTCCATCTGTGGCAAAATTGCTAATTAATTTGCTGAATTTTTTGAGCTCTTTGATCAAGGTTACTTAATCTGTGCCATAACTCCTTGCAAAACCTCAGCACAGTAATTCTGGCTTGTTACTCACACCAATGTTACCTACTGAGTATCATGCAACATTCTTTACAGCTATATACAAGCATCCTTAGCAACACTTTTATCCTTGGAGAAATTTGGCTTTTTTTTTTTCTTCCATGAAAAAAATACTGGATACTGCTTCTTCATTATGGTTTTAATCATGACCTATAAAAAAGCTTTTACCAGTTGGAAAGGCCATTAATAGACCTTTTCAAACCTTGTTTGACCCATAGTGACAATATGCACTGGATTTCTGAAATAAAATCATGTTTAGAATAAGCATATGAGCAAGGGCCTTAAAAACTACAGCAGAGGCAGTGCCATGAGATGGGGTGCTCAAGGACTGAAGCTGAGTTAAGGGCTTTTATTGTCCAGTCTGTCACAGAAGTTCCATACCTGTATCACTGCTCTTGACATGTGATGTGGCTCAGATGTTTTACTCAAGACGCCACATCAAGCAACAGCCCTCTGAAATGAAACTCCCACTGACCAGGAGACTAGAGAATGGATTAGTAACTTTTTTATAAATATGTATAATTTCCCAGTTTCCCTTAAGTTACATCTAGATCCACTGAAGATGTGGATAATAAATGTTGACTAACCAGGTATGACCTGCTCAGCTGACGAGGTCTGCTGAGGCTGTTCAAGAGCCAGTGTCCAAAGGCAGTCGGTGAGTTATGCTGTTCAGGCTTTGTATCAGGGTTGATGTGAGAAGCAAGAAGCTGAGATATTCCTGAAAACACACTTCTAGCTCTACATATGGATATCCCAGGGCGCAGGTGCCCTGTAAGTGTGACAGGCTCTGTCCATACAGGGTGCATATGCACCATCCACCTCAGCTTGGCTATACCAGCAGCAAGAAGAATTTTAGCATTGTAAAGTGGCAACTGCAATGAGGCAGCTCTAACCTCTGGACAAGGGGATGAGAAGCACTGACACAAGTAGTTTTGCATCAGGACCTACATGCCCTGTAACCCCTGGTGCCTACAGGCAGCAGCAGGGTGCTTAACAGGACAGCTTGGAACTGGTGGGACACGACCACATCACCCCCTCTCCATTACAGGGCATTTCTGGTGAGTCCTATGGTAGCACATGTCCAGCTGCTGGGCAAGGGGGTGAAGCTCAGTAGTGCAGGGGCAAGAAGCACTTTGTCTGTCTGCTGCATCCACAGGGATCTGCTGCCTGGTCACTGCACACTTCCATGGACACCCATGCTGGGAACACCCAGCCTTTGCTTCCTGCACAGAGCATTTACCTTCCACCTGGGGTGTTGATGGAACAGCCCAATGTATTTTCTGCCTGAGCATGGAACTGCTTGTGAAGTACAACTGCACCTGCCTGTGCTGCGCTGGTAAGGACACACAGCAGTTGGTTTTCTGATAGTACAGGTGTGCTGCTGAGACACAGCCTCAGCCACGCTTGACTGGCACACTGGTGCAAAGCCAGTGACCTTTGGGAAAGCCATTATGGTCACCTGGGCTGTTCTCAGTAATACACAGGTTGTCCCTTTTAGTTACCAGGTTTCTAGGAGGGCTCTCCAGAGCTGCAGCTGCCCTCTTGTCCCCTTGTGCCTGGCAAACCTGCCTCCAGGAAGAAGCAGGGGTTCCCCCAAGCTGTTCCTACACAGACTTCCCCATTTTAAATATTTGCTGTGTCTCTAGAATTAACCAAGAGTTAGCTGGTGGTTAGAGTGCACCCACAGTCTGGGGGAAAAATAACACTGTTCTCTCTACATCCACTTGTGTGAGTACTTTGGTGAATACTGCACTTTTTCCACAGTGCTTCCCTCCTGGTCTGGGAAAACCTTTTCTGTGCCTTCTACTGGAGCAAGTGTTAATAACCGCAAGTAGCCCCGATGGTGTGGCTGGGAATGTCCACCGTGTACAAAGATTTCAGTGGGGGTGTTGGCGCTGGCCTTGGTAGGATCCCGCTGGCTTTTGGCAGAAGCTATGCTGCCTTCTCGTCCCCTATCACCGTTGATGTTCTTCTCAGGTTTTCCTTGACTTTAATGAATTCTGGTGCACGGTCTTCCTGCTTCTCCTGCTCTTTCTCCAGCTGTAAGAAAGAATTCATTGTGCACATGAAAGGACAAAATGGCATCAGCTATGTTAAAACAGAAGGCTTCATTATCGCTGGGTCCAGTTATTATTGCCCAAAGCTGAATGAATGTGTAGTGCATGTGCTGTGGCTCTCTTTTTACAAGCCATCACACCAGACCTACATTCACCCTTAGTCTCCTTCTGTCCTGCTGAAATATTAATTTCTTTCCTCCAGGGAAGAACATCTTTATCAGAAAAGCAGGGTAGGGCTTCACTTCAGATCTGGCATGGGAGAGGGAGGAAAAGGTTTGAATCCTTCCCAGCAGAGGAGGCCTGTGAGCCAGGGAAAGCTCTCAGCATTAGGTATTGTCTAAGGTGAGGTAAGTCATTGTACTGCCTTGCTTTTTTATGTGAAGTCTGTATGGATCTTCCCTAAACCACCTTGTTTCACATTCCTTGTTCTCTGAGAGTGCCAAGCTTTGGTTTTCAAGTGATCTCAGCTTGATGAACATTGTTGTGTTGTTAATTAAACAAACTGATTTCATTCATTTGCAGTGCAAATACTGGCAAGTAGGAGAGGCAATGACTTTGTTCTCGGTGGTAATGAGCCTGCTCACTTCTTGCACTGGTTTGGGTAAGAGGGCAGGCACCCAGGCCATGGCTGTGCTGCTGTCAAGTGCACAGTGAATATTGCTTTCCCCAGGCAGAATTTTGGCCAGGGTCCATGCCAGAAAATGTTCCCCAAAGCAGTTTGGGTAAGATTGCAACAATGCTTCTTCCAGCACTTCTGCAGCCTCTCAGCCTGCACTGCAGGGTCCTGAGCACTCCTATGGTGGGTGCTGCAACAACCCCCACGCAGTCTAGGGTGCTTTAACTGGAAAAAAGCCCCAAGGGCACTGTGTGGAACCCAGAGGAGACCCAGGGTGAGTGGTGTGTAATGGGGGTCTTGGGTGAAGCAGTATAAACGTGGTGGAGCCCACTATGAGGATTAGAGTGCTGCAGCTGTGTGGGGAAGCAGTGGAGGATACACTTTGGCTCCTGTTTTATGGAGGGGTAGCAGTGCTATACCTTGGGTTGAGCCTCAGCCCACCCATCTCTCCCTGTGCCATGTGTCAGGTGGTTAGGATAACCCAAGGATGGCTGAAAGCTCAGTTCTACCTGATCCAGCCTCTGGTGCCTCTTTAATAGCTCTTTTTCAAAAGGAGACTGCAATTTCTTTGCCTCTTCCTCTTCCTTCTTCTGTTTGATGAGCAGGTCTCGCCGTCGGTGCTCGAGCACTCGCTGCAGCTCTGGCTTGCTCTCCACGCCCAAACCTCTGTGGATAAAAAGCAGAAAAATGAGGGCCAGAGCATCTACACCTGGGGCATAACCACTGCCAGCTTGGCAACTCCAAAACTTGTCTTGGTCCAAAATGGAAACACGGGAGACCTGCGTTCCATGAGATCCATGGGAGATCCATGAACCAGCCCTGACCCACAAATCCACCTACAAGGTTTGAGGGTGTTTGGTGGTGCCTTGGGGTGGGCACATGTTGCCATTCGTGTATGGCACATTTGGTGCTTGAAGTTCTACCGATCCCATTGCACCGGGGTACCACAGCTTTCTGTGTCGGCTGTGGAAACGGGACCTTCCTAGGCTCGTGCTGTTACTGGTTTTAACGGTGTCAGGTGTGGATTCAGCGGTGCTGAGAACTTGTGCAATAATGACGATTTTTTTCCCACCAGCAGGGGTAGTCATTGTGCTGCAGTAATTGTCCTGGCAGCTCCTTCCCTCCCCGCGCATCCCATCTGAAGCTTTGAAGCTTTGCTTCGGAGCTGAGGGCCGGCGATCCCTCTGCTGACATGGACAGTTTGGATCAAGAAGCCAAAATGAACTGTCCTTTTCTCCTGGAAGCCGGAGGGTTTGCTGATGGCGCAGGTGGCTGACTCCTTTGGCCACCTGCTGCATCTGAGGTGAACCTCTGTTCGTGAGGGGTGGGATCACAGGAAGGGAGACACAGCAGGGCCATGCAGGCAAGGCACAAACGTGTGGTAAAGAGATGGAAGGCATTCCCTGAACATATTTCAGAAACCTCACACTTTGGATATTGCCGTGCCTGAAGTAGTTATGGGTGTTTGGTGTTCCTGCGGCCACAGGTCTGTGTTGAGAGGAGGGGACCTCCTCATGCCTGTGCTAAAGGCTTGCCCAGGGTGCCCTGGGCTGGGGAGTGCTGTTAATGTAAAGCTCCTCCTCAGCACCAGGAGGTCTCTGTTGACCAAAGGCTGGTTGGTTTTGACCAAGGCTGTTTGAAAGCCGAGGCATCAAACCCTGTGGGCTATGGATTTCTTGGCAGGGTGGCAGATGCTGAGGTGGTACCTCACATCATGACGAGCTAAACTGGCAGGCAGGAGAGAGGAACCACCCTCTCCAGATGCAGCAAACCTCTGCACTGTTGCAGCATGGCTCAGACCCAGTGCTTGCATCCTTCCAGTGTCACTTTTAATGATACTTCCTATTCTAATTTTTTTGCTTATTGACAGGACAGAGTTCACAGCAATGTCAGTGAAGGCACCCATAGCCTTGGCTTTCATGATGGTTTTTGAAGCAGGAACAACTTGGATGCTGCAAAATTGCTTTTCCCAAGGCTTGAGAGAAGAAAAACCTGCCTTGGCTTGCTGGAGACACAGCTTGCAATGTTGCCTGTGGATTTGTTACTATTCTTTGATTTAATCAGCCTGTGTTGTTAGTGCCCAGAGGTGTTGAGTAAGATAAGAATTTTGTTACACAAGCTGCTGATTTCAGTTGCTTCTCCCTGCTGCTTGAGGGGGAAAAAACAACCAAAGCAGAGACAGGAGCAAGTCGTAATTCCTTCTCTCTCCCCTTCTCCTCTCTCTTTCTCTGTGGTAATATTTAGCAGGAAGCAAAACTGATCCAGCAAACTGGACAAGAAACCAGCAAGAATGGATTGCTTTTTGCAGCAGGGTTTGTTTCACATATTTTCTGAAAAATACTTGGGAGGTCAGAGCCAAAATAGGTTTAAACTGATGCTTGGGAGGGGCCACATGAGTATGTGGTGCAAGATGTCTGTGGTGGAGCTGCCTCCTGCCAGTACCTGGTGGCACACATGGATGTGACACAGTGGCAGGCACAGAACTGGAGCACAAAAAGATGTACTTTGTGTTTGCCAGTGTGAAGTGCAGCTCCGGTGCCACAGGATCTGCACCTCCTTCACTGCCATTCCCCTCTGCTGCTTCCATTGCAGGGGTTTCTTGTTCCTTTGTTCCATCATGGTTAGACTGGAATAATGTTTTGTGAGATTCAAGACAGTGCTAGTGGGTGACCCTTTAAACTGAGCTGTATCACTACAGAAGAGATGGTCACTCTCAAGCCAGAGACTTTTAAAAATATCTGGCTGGTATAGTGGCATCTGCCTTGATGCCAGAGAAAGGTCCCTGTAATTCTTCTGATTCTGGGAAAATCAAACCCAAGCCCAGCCAGTGCCAGTATTGATTAATGCACCCTGCTGGCAGGCTTGATTGTTCACTGAATTAATATACGTGTCTGGTTCTTATGATGACTGCAGTCCTTTAGAACAGAGGCTGTGCTCCTTTTAATTAGGCAGCCAAAGAGCTATTGTGTCAGGGTATTTCAGGGTGTTCAGAAAATGTCAATATAAAGCCAGCAGACTTCTTGCTGTGCTTAAAAGCTTCTGAGCCTCTGAGAAGATGACTTTATTGCACTGATGTTCAGACAGTTGCCACAATGGAATGATGTAGCTGTAGGTTCTTGATCATTGGTATAGTTTTCCTGATTTTGTATCTGTACCCCCAAAGAGCTAAATTGGGGTGGTGGGATAGGAAGTCAGGAATATGAACTCTAGCCTGTCTTTACCCATTTGATATTTAGGGATCTGGTGAGTAGCCTTGTACAGATGATCTCACCCCACTGCTACCTCAGCTTTTAATGACTGCATCCAACCTGCACCTCTTCCTGCCTCTGGATTGACCTTCAAGTGCACAGGAATGCTGTACATTGCTAGGGACTTGGCAGATCAGTGATGGAGATAGAAAAAACAGAAAGCCTCCAAGGGACACCAAAAAGGGGCTGTAGGCATGCCTTCCATCTTCCAGTGCTTGTGACTAAAAAGTGTCAGCCAATCCTTTGGGATGGCAGTGCAGGGGCTTTTTGTTCTGCTTAATTTTTTTAAAAGAAATGGTCATATCATAGTAAAGAGGAAAGGATACAGCGAAAGAAGACAGGATACTGTGTTTGTTTGCAAGTGAGAGGATTTATCGTACCATTCCAGCTTGCAGTCTGTCTCAGGCACCTGTGCCTCAGCTGCTGAGCTCTGACAGCTCAGCACCACTTGGACTGCTCCAGTGGCAGGCTGCGACCTCTTCTTACCTTTTGTGGTTCATCAGCAGCTCCCTGTGCAGCTCTTGATGGCTCTTCGAGGCTTTTACAGGATTTAGGAGTTTTTTAGGTTTGATGAGGTCTGGGTTTCCATCTATGTAGTCTGGGTGAGTCAGGATATTCCCACCATCTGGTCGCTCCCGCTGTATTTCCGTATACATCGAGGCTGGAAGAAAAAATGAGGTGTTTGCATGAGAAGTCTCACCCTGCTTGGTGTGAGAACCCTGGGCAAGACAGAGGAGAGGAGCTGGTGCTTGTCCTGGCTGCCTGACACCCGTGTCAGTGTTGGAGTGCACGTGCCTTCATGTGCTGGTGTGGGATTTTTAGAGGTTTTAAAAAATACTCCCTTTGCGTTGTTGATGAGACATGTATTAATTAGATCACTTAAACTACTTGCCAGCCACTTGCTTCAGTGGCTTCAGAATTTAGTGCCAAGGATTAATTAATGCAAGATAGGTTTAACTAAAACTGGAAGCAGCCATGGATGAAGCTGTTGTTGATATGTCCTATCCCATAGCACAAGGGGATGCTGTGGGATTTAAGGGGCTTCTGAAACACTGGCCTGAGGAAGTCTTGCTGTATCTGAAACCTCTTGTCAAGGAAAGATTTTGCTGATATCCTTCTGACCTATTCATCAGGATCGAGTCCAGTGCCAAGAAAAACATCCTTCGCCCATGCAGTCTGTGATCATGCTGCAATAATTTGTATGTTCTGGATGTAAGAACAAGAGCCCACTGTTTTGGAAGGGATGGCAGCTTGGATTTCAGGCAAACCACAGGGCATGCTCACTGCTGGTGTTTTCCAATTCCTTTACATTTTCTCTTTACAAAAAACTCCTATACAAAGTGAGTGCAAAGCACAAGTTATAAGACAAACTGCATGTGGTGGGCTGTGTCTTTAAATGAGGAGCACAGGAGGTCTGCTTCCAATTATTCAGTGTATGGTTTAATCAGGGGCTCAGAAAGAGCAATTTATTCCTGACTATTCACTTGAACAATTTGGAAGTTTACCAGTAAGAATGAAAAAAGTCCCAGGAAAAGGGTGTAGGCAGCTTCATGTCTTTAAGTCTCTCATTATTACAGTATTTTTGAGGCCTACTGTGAAGTTATATGGGTTGATGGACCTGAAGAAAAACAGTTGTTCAGTAATGTTGCCTCTTTCTCTTATTTCAATCTCATATATAAAAGGAATAAAACCTTTTTAAAAAGAGAAATCAATAAAAAAAGCCAAGAGAAAGCAGGCTAGGTCATTCTTTCACAGTCAGTAAGCACTTAAAAATGTGAAGTGGGTTGCAATCAAACAAAATTGTGTAAGGAATAATACTGCTGAAGAAAAGATTCAATATCAAACAACTTCTCATTGAATGTTAATGTGGCCAGTGCCCTACTGCTTTGGGAACAAAGGAAAACAAATCAGAGCTCATTACAGGAGTGTAATTGGGGTGAATAGTTTGGTACGTATTTAAAGGGTGCTTGGAAGCTGGAACCAGTGATTTTTTTGTATTACATTATTTTCCTCTAGGATCACACATCACTGCTGGCAGAAGGGAAGGTGGTGTGGTTTGATGTTTGGTGGCAAGTGCCAGGCTGACTCAGACCCTTGCAGGGCTGGACTGCCCAGGCTGAAACTGGGATCTCAGCCTTGCCTTCCAGAGAGATGCAGGGACTGAAGAACAGCCAAGGGTTAAGGCAGTGCAATTTCATGGCTAATTTTTGTTAGATGAAAGCCAGGTTTTGAACAATGAGAAAACATATCAGATTTTCACTGGGACAAAATTGCTTTGCTTTTTTCTTGTACTTATTTTGGTTTTTTTCTTCACAGAAGAGGCAGAGAAAAGACAAGGAAGGAAGGAAGATAGAAAAGCAAAGGTTTGTTTTAGCATGAATGAAATGGTTGAACTCCTATTTCAAATGGCAAAGCTTCATTTTTCAAACAAAAAGGTCTCTCCATGAAGTAACTTCAATAAAAAGCAGGTGTTTTTCACAGAAACACTGTTTTTGGAAGCTGTGTTAATAGACTAGGCTCAATGTCACTGTGTCATCCCACTGCCCTTTCCCACTGTTCCTGTTTAGTCCAGAGCTGCCTCCAGTGACACAGATGCCCACACTTGTTTGTGTGTTGGTACCAAATCCTGATGCATGTCAGGAGAAGGACTGGGACATGTCCATCTTGGATTTGTCTATCTTAAATCCACTTGATGTGCTCTGCTATGGGATAATTCAGTGAGTAGTGAGCATGGAAGGATTATGCAGCCAACCAAGGCTGAAGGACCAACCTGAGTGTGTAAGTGGCTGAAACTCAAGTGACTTTGACATTTTTCTCTGGACCAATTAGCTCTTGGGTCCTGTTGCTAAGCTGTGCTAGCTCTTGGGGCACTGGTGCAGCACAGTTATTTATTATATACTGTTTTCCCCTGCCTCCATGATTTATGGTTTTCCTTTTGCAACTCAGGAGTGGGAGTCCCTTCTTCCCTACCCCAAGACCCAGATCCTGGGAGATTTGGTTGGCCAGGCTTTCCCCACATCCACATAGGTCTTACACCCAGCAATGCACACCCATGGAATGGTGTCATCCAGTCCTTCAGTCCGGTCTTGTGGTGTTTCCCCAGACACCCAGGATGATCAGGGAAGGGCCCCCCTTCTGTCTTATGTGACATTTTGAGGGGCACTGGGGTGAGCCTAGAGGTTTTAGATGGGCTAATGTGGTTATTTCCAGACTGCAGCAATCTAATGCTGCATGACTGAGGCTTGCAAAGAAACAGCAATTTATCAGCCTATTTACTGAAGGCATATGGGGAACTTTTCCCTTAAAGTAGTACAAATTAAGACAAAAACTGGGAGGGAAGGAGTAGGAGGAACTGAAATGGACTGGAAGCTTTTCTGGCCCAGTTCTGTTAAAGCAGCATGTGAAAGCCCTCATGAGGAGTGCAATTTGCCTCAATACACTGAGGGGGCCAGGACACAGCAGGTACCTCTGTGCTTGGTTTTCAGGGCACTAGATGTGCCCAGGGGTGTGCAGAAACCCACTTCAAGGGTTTGGCTTCCTGTGGGTGTCTGTATTGCTGCCCTGGGGACAAAGTGAAAGCCCTGACTGGGGCTGGAAGGAGCCTTGAACCTCTCTACAAGAATAGCACTTTAAACCTTTAGAAGCCCTCAGCCTGGAACAATTCAAGGAAAGTCTTCATTAGCACTGAGCAAAAAAAGAAAAATGGTAATATAAAAATACGGGTGTGTCTGCAGCACAGCTTGGTATTATGCCTGGGTGTAAGGATGGGACATCTCCTGCAGGCTGGCAAACAGGACCCAGTGCAAAATGTTTGTCGGGGAGTAGATCTATCATCTCCAAGACCTGAGGTAATGCATGTCCATGTACCAGAGACAGAGTGCTATCAGGCTGCTTTTTGTCATTATTTATGGTGCTGGAGGTGTAAATCAAGCCAGGTCTCTGCAGTGGATTTACAGCAGGATGCCTGTTTTTGCATGACTCAGCTGCAGATCAATGAACGAGGCTCTGCTCTGGTACCTCCCTGGCCACCATCATAAATCAGTAAAAGGTGTTGGACATTTTAATTTTGTTCTTTGCAAGACACAAACAAAAAAATACATGTGGATGTTAATACCATCTGCTGTACTGAGGAAGACAGTGTGACCTTTTAAATAGGTCTGCTTTGGACTGTTGCTTATAAAAAGTTGTTTGCTTCAACACACTCAGGCTTTTGCTTGCTTTTAGGTATTTTCCCTTTTCTCATTTCTAGAAGCTCGAGGCTTTCTAGGGAATGTGTGTTTCCAGCTGCTTTTCTGTTAGTAAAAAGCAAGACTGCCAGGATAAGGATGCCAGGGCCCATGGCAGGTACTTGGACATCACACACAGAGTTATCTCCTCTCTCAACCATACGGTGAAATGAGCCTCCAGTAGAGCTCTATTAGTTTTCTGGGAGACCACAGAGGGAATTTTCAGCATCTTTGAGGTGGCCCAGATACCAGACACCCCCCTGCTTCAGGGTATGGGACTGACTGGAGCAGAAAAGTGACATTTTAATACCTTGTTCTGCTCTGACCTAAAGCAAAGCCCAAATTCCTGCACAGACCACCTGGAAATACTTATAAATCCCCCAGTTCCTGAGAGAGTTGCAATAAAATCATCACTCTGCAATCCTGGGACAAATTGTTTCCACTTCTGATTATGCTCAGACACAATCTTTTTGGGAAACAGGTTATCAGGCAGCTTAGGTGCAGCACTAAATGATTTTGAAAGCATGAATGCTGCAAATATACATTAAATATGCTCTACTAGGAGTGTAAAACAGGGTGTGCTGCTTGGGGTGCTGAGTGGCTTTTGTGCAGCCCCCCAGAACAAGAAGAAAGGTTTTAGCCTGCTCCTGGAGAGGAGGAGGAAGAGGAGGAGGGGGAGGACTGGCTCACACCCAAGGACATGCGGGTTTGGCTGCAGCTGGAGCTGGGCTATGCTTCCTTTGGCTGCTGCTGCTTTTTGGTTTTCCCTCACACAGAGGAGATGCCCTTCACAGAACATTTATTTAGGATTAAGCAACTTGTCTCCTGGTGGTGATTGCCATGTGAGCTCTGCTCTGTCAGGACTGTGCACTGCCGCTGGCAGCCTGTGCTACCGTCCTGTCAGGATGGAAATAATCCCCAGAAATGTTACAGGGATTAACAGGCCTGGAAAGGACAGGTAACCTGAGGGATGCAGCTCTGCTGACGGCTGCCTACATGGCTACAGCTGTTCTTTACAAGTGAAAAATGAAACAGGTTGGAAATGGAGTTAATCCATAATTGTTGGATTTAGAAAGCTGTAGAGTGGGGGTCTGGGGTCCTGCCCAGCACCTCTCAACCTGTACCTGTACAGGAGAATGGAGGGAGCAGCAGGACAGCAGCTGCTTTTTGCAGGTTTTTATGTGAAATGCCCAACTTGTGTTTTTCCAAGGTCTCCTTGACATCCTGCCCCCTGTGACATCTCATTTTCCCCCTGCACATCCCTCAGCCCTTTCCCATGCTACCTGCATCCTTAAACTGCAAAGCTGTCTATGCTGCCTTATGAAGCACAGGTCAGTGTTCAACTTTAGCTGAACTAGAAAGCAAATGTAGTTCACAGTGTTTTATTTCTGCTGTCTGTGTCATTTGAGAACTGAACTAGAGTATCTCAGAAGAGTTTTGTCAATAGGGCCAGATGATGACCAAACTGCTTTTGTTAAAAATATTTTATTTGCATCCATTTTTGGGCAGATAATGGGTCTTTGTGAAATGCCACCCATGTAAAAACAGTCAGAGAGCATTATTTTGGGAATGGGATCTGTACTCAGATGACACTGCTGTCTGTAACCTTGAGAGACCCTGTTACTTGGTAGAAGGGATAAGTCTGGGCAAAACCCTCAGGATGTCCAGCATCAGAGACCTGGATCTGGCTTTGTAAAACCATTGATCCAAGAGACCACTTCCTGAGCAGAAATGATCACTTAAAATTGTGGTTACAGGGGAGAACCTCTGGTTTTCTGGATGCCCTGGATTTATTCATTAATGCATTTTTTTTAAAGAACAAAGAGATTAATGAAGGGCTGCTGACAGAAGCTGGTCATACACGTCCTGCAAGTCAGGCAGCTGCAAAACCAACCAAAGTGTGGGCCAGCAGAGAGAGTTTAAAGCTATTTACACAAGTAACCTGAGCCTGGGGGGTAATGTGGATTTCTGACAATTTAATTGCAATTGTGGGGGGAAACCATCCCTTTTCTGGGTCTTAGACGCCAACAAGATCCAGTCCCTGGGGAGCCCTCATTTCCTCAGGGTGAGAGTACTGTCCCTCACCCCTCTTTGGAAGACTGAGAGGAGCAGGGCCTGTCCTCAATCCCCACAAGAGTTTGCATGTGCAGGTGGAGATTTTTGGGATCTTAAAACTGGCTTCTGTTACTTTTAAGCACTTTCATGCTTCTCTCTGTTAACCAGAATGTAACTTTTTTTCCTTTTAGAGGATGAACTTTCTGTCAACGCATTTCCAGTGTCTGAAGTGCAGCTGGAGTTTGACTCTACAGCTTTTCTTGTGAGAGAGTAATAGCAGAAAAGGTCATGCTGTGTGTTAAGTCCTACAAAGAATGAAGCTGAAAGTTTGTCATTGGCTTTGAATTCTTCAATTGATGGCACTTGCTAATTTGCATGTTTTTTCTACAGTTAATTAACTGTATTTTAGAAATACAGAATAGCTGGGGTCAGCAAAATGTGGAAGAATTCCATGTCAGTCTCTGAAAGCCCCAAAGCTTTGTCTGATGACAGCAGCTTTCAGGTGTGCAGCTGCAGGGCAGAGGATCATCTGCTAGGAGGACAGGAGGTTTTGACCTCAAAGTCAGGCCCTTGCTTTAGGAAGCCCCTTTCTGCATGGTGAGGGTTCAGGATAGCTGGAGGAGGCACCCAGCTGTGGGTGCTGCTTGATGGGGAGGCTTGCAGTGCCTGGACGCCCTTTGGTAGGTGAGTCCCCACAGCTGAGCCCACAAATTGTGCCTTATCACCCTAGTAATCCGTGTGCTGCTGTTACAACAGCCTGGAACAAAATACCTGTAATTCACATTAGCCTAATGCTGCTGCTGTGGCTTACTGCCCTGGTGATGGATGATGATGACGTTAATAATAATAATCATAATAATAATGTGAGCCCAAAGATTGGCAGATGCTAAACATCACCCTCCCTGGGTGAGATGGCACCAGCTCCCATCCTCACTGTGATTTTCCTCTCCTCTGGCTCCAGCTGTGCCAGCAGCTCGGGAGCACCTCATACCGACGGGCCTGGCACGCTCCCCTGTGCTTGTCACCAGGCGACCGTACCTCTGATAAATGATACGTGTGCTCTGGTAAGGAGTCAAAGAGCCTTTGTCTGCTTTTAATCTATAGTTTTAAATAATTAAGCAAGGCTAATTCTGGTATTTATAATGCAATAGGGTGAGTGTAACTCGATGTGGCTGCTGTGGGAAGCAGTTCCCAGCTATCAAGTGGCTGCCTCAGGGCAGTAGGCACTCACAGCCCAGGTCCCCTTGCCTTCACTCAGCCCTGACGGTCAGAAATAAACCCCACGGGGTCACAAGGGCAGAAAGGCAGAGGAAACCCAAATGGAAATGTAAAACAGGGCTGGGGGACATATCTCTGCAGCTCCCAGCACTGCTGCCACGTCACCACTGGTCCTGTCTCTGTGTCTGCTGAGCACATGCTGGGGATGGGCCTCCCCTCCAGTACAGCCAGTGCTCTCCCACTGGTATAGCCAGTGTCCCCAGTTTGTCCCCAGCCCTGCTCACCCTTGCTGAGCCCCGTGCCGGCAGTGCAGCCCCCAGGGCTGGGTCCCCCATTTGCACCAGCACTGCACCTGCCTAGGGGAGCACAAAGCAGGTGCTGGGCTCAGCTCGGGCCATCACCCCAAAGGTAAAGGACTCTGCATGTCCCCATGGCCACCCGCTGGACTTTGCATTCATTCTTGGATTTAGAAGAGAGAAATCCCACCAGGTTTGAGGCTTGCTGAGCTGTCTGGGGTGTAGAAGTCACCAGCTGGAAATGCTTGTATCGTCAGGCAGCAGCAAGTGCCTCTCTGCTGGCAGGCAGGACTGGGTGTGCTAGTTAATAATTTCATTTTATTACCTTGGACTGTGATAAGCAAAGATAGCAAGGCTGGGATCTTAGTCTGTTAACATTCACTAAGATGTCCCATGCCTTTTACAGGCAGCATGTGGAGCACTGGTTTAGTTTTGTTAGACAGTAGCAGATGCTTAGCAGTCCTTCTTGACAATCATAAACTTAGTTTTAATATCTCACCAAGTATTTGTTCTGCACATTTGCCTGCCAATGACAGAGATGCACATCAATCAGTAATGAATGCTTAAAGTTAGTTCAAAGGTATTTTGTTAAATACAGAAGACGTCCTCCCATGTTGATTTGTAGGGATTGCATTAACCCCCTATCCAGCCCAGTGCCTCTCCAAGAAGGTTTGAATTGCAGGATGGATATTCTAAGGGAATTTCTTGTGGGATATGGAGAGGCAGAAACAGAAGGGAAGCTTTTCAACTAGCTACTGAAGTATTAAAGTAACACAATATCTCAAATAAAATTAAAACCAGGTCCCAAGTCACCTGTGTATACAATGAAGAGCAATCCCGCGGGATGAAGGAGCCCGTCCCCGCAAAGGGAGCACCAGAGCAGCGGGGATCCCCGGGGCAGTGTGGGGACCCTGGGCTTACCTGATTTCCGCAGCGAGGCCCTGGGGAGCCCGGGGGGCAGCTGCTGCCCTGTGCCCCACGACATGCGGCTGTGGGGCTGAGGCTGCCGCCGCTGCCCGCCTGCACTCGCGCCTGGCTGACTTTTGGCCGGTTCAGCGAGGCCGCCCGGCTCCTGCCAGGTCTCCGCGGTGGCAGCAGGGACGGAAGGTCACGGGGAGGTGGCTGCTGCAGCCTCCCTGCTGCTCCTGTCACCCCGCAAGGACCTCGCTGAGGCTGGAGCTCAGCTGGCAGCAGCCGGTGACCTTGCTCGCTCTTCAGTGCTGGTCCTCTGCCGCCCTGAAAACTTCTTCCCTTTGCTCTTTGCTGCCTGATGATGTTTTCCCAGGAGAGATGAGGAAGCTAATGGCTTTTCCTCCCCAGAGCAAACAGCTCTGTGCGTGCCCAGGCTCCCGAGCTGCCTGCTCGGCACAGCCACTGCTGCTGGTGGAGAGGTCGTGTCCCTGCTCCACGGAGGACGATTTCTCCTCAACGTGCCTTAACCACGCTCCTGGAGAAATCAGATCGCCCCAGAGGAAGCCGCACGCCCACTCTCTTTAGCAACCACTGCAACAGCCAAGCCGGCACCAGGGCAACCGCTCGAGCTATCGTGATTATTCCCTGGCGTGTTGCAACACCCTGTCATCAACCTACTGCTGCACCTCAGGGTAAGGGCTGCCAGAGGGAGATGCAGTCCCTACACGGGGCCGCGGGTGTCCTGGTGGCATCAGAGCTTGTGTGATGCCACAGCATCGCTGTCCCAGGTCTTCTGCTGCTGGGATGCAGCCCCTGCCCGAACTGGGCTTCTTGTCCCCATCATCAGTGTGGCTGGAAGGTGCCGTGTTGGCTGTCCCTGACTTGCCACAGCCTGGGAAACCAAAGGCTGCAAAGGTGGGGGAGACTCCACCGACTCTTTTTGGCTCTTCAGTGGGCTCTATGGTCCAGTTCTGCCCAGGCTGCCCAGTGTCAGCCTGCCGGTGCTCACTGTCTCAGTCCCAGGGTCAGGGATGAAGCAAAACCATTTCCACACAGATAGAATGCGATAGGGAAAGCTGTGGGGCATCACACTCTGTGGCACCCAAGGGTGCATAGTCCAGGCCGTGTCCTGGCCTGACACTCCTGGCCCTCTGAAGGCCTGGAGAAAGAAACCAGGTTGTCATGGACAGAGGGGTGCTCTTTCACTTACTTTCACCTTTCCACAGTTTGCACCTCTCCACATTCCAGCATTTTCCCCCATCCCAACCATGTTTCCCAGCCAAGGCCTCAGCAGCACCAGGCGTGAGCAGAGGCCCCGGTCCCTCCCAGTTTGCCTCCAAAGCTCTTTGAGGGTCAGCATGGGCTGCTGGCACTCACCTGGACTGCCACTCCCTGGCTTCTTGCTTCCATTCGGACCCTTGGACTGAAGGGAATATTCTTTCTGGAAGAAAAGACGAGAGAAATGAGAAAAGACTGTACAGATATTGCTCTATCACAGGAGATGAAACAAAAGAGAAGTTGCTGGTCCTTTGCTACCAGAGACTAAAAAAATTATTGTTATTTTTAACCTGACCAGGAGCTGTTCAGTTTGATTGACATGGGGCCCCAGATGCAGGAGAGGAGAGGCAGGCTGGTCCTTATGCCAATGTGTGTGGTGTGTGTCCATGTACTTGTGAGTGTGCTCAGCCTGACCTGTCCAGCTGTGGATTACTCACAGGCAGGGTTTGGAAGACCCTGTACATCTTTTGCATCTAAACCAAGGCTGTGGCAAAGGAGAGGCTGTTAAGGTTGTGCAGTTTTTCTGCTCAAGCTGTGACCTCACAGCCCATGTGTGCCCCACAAGATTCTTGTGGCCCAGCAGACTCCCCTCACATCACGCATTTTCCCATGGCCTGGCTGCTCATTGTGCACTCCAGAAACACCATTTGGTTCAAGTTGAATGGAAAAGGAAATGGATACACATCTGTGCTATTCCCCTTGGGCCACTGTTGAAAAAGTTTCAGGTCTGTGAGTTCACTGGAGATGTGTCAAAGGGGGAAAAGAGCATCGATCTAAACCTGTTTTGAGCTCCAGGGAAGTGTGGTTATGGCTGGTGGATGTGGGAATGGAAAAGGGCTGTGATCCACCAACTGCTGCTTTTGACTGAGTAAAATCAGAAAAAGGCCAGCTAAATTTTCTTGATATATTTCTGATGCGTCCTGGTGCCTGACCAGCTGCACGTCTGGGCTCCTCTCCTGCAGAGAGGAGGAGGAAGTGGGTTTGTGGGGTCCTGAACCAAGGGATTTTTCATGGCAAAGCTCTTTTACTGGGAGCTCCTTGCAGAACAGTTCTCTTTGCTATCTAAATTAGAAAGCAATCTCTCCCTGTGCTCCTGCGTCTTTGAGATTAACAAAAAGCCTTTGTATTGCCCCTGTAGCTCCCTGAAGGTTACTTTGTGAGGGAGGTTGATTGCTGGGTGAGATTTATCTGGAGTGGCTCCTGCAGACAAGGAGTTGCGTCATCACAGCTGCCCTGTGTGTCTTAGGAAGTGGCTTTGTGTCCTAGGAGAGGGTGACATGGAGAGCTCATTTCAGCATCACCCTTTGCACCTCCTGTACACTGTATGGCCCCATGTTGCCTAGGAATGCTGCAGGGCTTCGCAGTGGGGTCTTCTTTGGAGGTATCACCCCAGAGGAATGAGCCCAGGGTGTCCCTGAGTCAGCAACTGGCAGAAGACCCAGGCAGTTCTGGCATGGCTCTGGGATAGCTGTGGAACAGCTCTGGTAGAGCTCTCTGACGTGTGGCACAGAGGGCTCATCCCTTGGGACTTGGGCTCTGCTGTGATGGGGGAATGATGGTTTTCTCATCCAGTGTGCATGTAAAGAGAAAATAATGCTGTACTGAATGTGCACCTGGAGTGTCCCTGGTGGGTGGCTGTATGGTTATTAATGAGTACTAGGAACGGGAAAATGGTTCTGGAGGAGCCCAAAGCCAGGTTCTTGATACCAGGGCTGTTCATTAGATGGATTTTTAGCTACTGAGTTACTGTGTTAGGCTGCTGGCTAACATCTCTTTAGCCAATTGCTGTGGCACCAGAAGCTTTCTGGTATGGACATGTTTCCTGTGTATTAAATAACCCCAGATGTGTTAAGTGAGTTCCCAACGCCAACACTGTCTCTCTCTGGATGTGCAATGCTGCCTACTGACACAAGTGCAGTGACAGTGGGATAACTCTGTGTGCCTGCCGAGGAACCTGGGTGCAGCTGTGAGTGACAGAGCAGACAGCTCTCCCTGGATCTTTATTAAATCTCCACTCTCAGCACGGGGCTGGGACAGCAACATGACTGCCAGTCATGCCAGGCTCCCAGTCTGCAGGCAAAACTTTGCTGAAGTCACCTGGGGCTGCACTCGAAGGCAGAGGGCGTTTCAGCTCCTGCTGCAGGGCGGTCCTGGAGGCTGGTTAAACATTTGCTCTGCTGAGTTAATGCTTGATGTGGGCTGAGGTGCTGCTTGTGGTGGTAGGGACTGGTTGTGCAGCCCAGCCTTCCCTCCCACCCGGTGGCACCAGCTTCCAGCACAAACTCTGTGCAATCCCAGTACAACTTCAGAAGTTGTTCTGGTTGCACTGTGGTGGTGACCTTGGTGGTGGCAAAGCCAAAGGCAGGGGATGTGTAGGCTGCTCAGACCATGCCAGGTCCCTGGTACCGTGTCGCCTCTTGGCACAGGGCGGTTGGTAACACTCCTGCTAATCTCCACTCGAGCCATTAGTGTATTTGCAGAGCAGGACAGCTTCTCCTTGCACCTCCCCAGCTCACTGGGGCAGTTAATGATTGCCCAGGTGATGGAGACTTTTGCCTGCTCCCTATGGGACAATGCAGGGTCTGGCACTCTGTCTCCAGCCAGCTGAGGGACAGGTATTATAGGAGTCAGAGGGCTTAATTTGCTGCAGTGAGGGCTCAGATGGTGCGTTTGTGCTGCAGAAAATGCCTGCTATTTCCCAAACCCTTCTATTTCCATGTGAAAAGCACTTTTGTATGCAGTGTGACTGCATCTTGCCAGGAGTAAGAAGCAGTAATAAAATCTAGTATCAGATGGTAACACTGTGCCCCTCTGCAGCTGAGCAGGACAGCCCTGGAGACACTGCTGATGGGGGCAGGTGCCACTTCCAACCTGCAGGCAAGCTCCTCCTGCCTGGGATCCCCATCCTGCCTTGACCGTATCAGTGAGGACACCCACTGCTTCAGCGGGAATTAGCCTGGTGATTAAGTGGGTTAAATCCCACAGAGCAACACAAGCATAAATAACAAGTAGTTCCATGCCTTACGTGCACTGCTCTGCGTTACTCCCGAATGTCCTGGACATCACTATGTTCTGGCAGGACTGTTCCTGGCTGTGACTTGGATGCACAGCAAAGAGCTCCTGCAGCCAATGTCTGGAGGCAGTATCACAGGCATGAACCACCAGCTCTAACCACCATCCTCCTCCCTGGTTCCCCACTGGGGGGGTGCAATGCTCCTACTGGAGCTTAAAGCCAGCCACCTTGTATAAACCATTAATCAGTGTTATTTGTCCCACATGTGGGTGCTGTAATGTTTACTTGTAGCACAACTGACAGTAATTTTGGACTCTGTGCTCTGAGGAAAGCAGGGAAAAGAGCCATTGGCACGGTCAGAGTATAAGCCATGGAAAAGGTGATGAGAATGGCTTCAGGCAGGTTCAGATCAATACAGGTGCCATTAAGGTGCAGTATCAGAGAGCATCATGTTGCACTGTAGCCAAAGTCTGAGCTAATGAATTAGGTAAGAAATTGCTGCAATCATATCATGGTGATAAAGAGGTATAAAAGTAGGTAAAATGCCACTCAGGCTCATGTGACTCTCCCACAGGTCTGGTTTGGGAGGAGGTGCCATTAGCAGGGTTAGATGTTGCTCAACCTATTGAGGAGTAGATGGACTCAGAAAAAGGTACTTCATCCCTAAGGTGCTGTAGCAGCTCCTGACATCGTTGTTCAACAAATGACCACATCCATTGATTAAAATAGTCTATTGCTGATCCTAGAGACTTTGAAAGGAGTTGTCATGACCTGGAACAAGGTTCACTGATGGCTGGGATATCAAAGCCAGCATTTCTGTGTGTGATGAAGACACAAAACGTGATTTACAGGTTAACTAAACTGTTCTCTACCATTACTTTTGATTAGCCCCAAAAACCTTTTTCTGTTCTCAGTGCTCTGTATGAAAACATCTTGTATATGACCCTGGAATATGAGATGCCATCTGAGTTGTTGCCCAAATCTCCTGTATTGTTGCTGAATTTTGGTCTATCTGTGCTCATTTGCAGCAGCTGGGACTGATCCAGAGACACCAATGAAATCATCCACTGGAAGGAACTTTGGGGGATTAGTAAGACTTTTTCCCATCTGTGATGTCAATACACAAAAATCTGTCAGCTTGATTGTTTTGCTGCAAAGTCCTGCCATGTGAGGTGTTGAGGC